GGGGCTGGAAGTGGGGGCGCCTCGCTCATGGGCCCCAAGGTAACCTGGGCCGTGGGAGCTGCCCCAGCACTGACAGGGCCTCCTCCCTCAGTGACCCTCCCGTAAGAACATGAGAGCATTTCTTAAAACATAAAATGACATGGGAATGCAGGGCTTTAACATACCATACTACAAGACTATAAGTATAAACTAAGTCATTATAAAACAATAAATCAAATGATGTCCCACAATTAGCACAAAATCAGTTTGTTTGTTTTTTGTTAATCCTCACCCAAGGATATTTTTCCATTGATCTTTTAGAGCAGCGGTTCTCAACCTGTGGGTCACAATCCCTTTGGTCGTCAAACAACCCTTTCACAGGGGTCGCCTAAGACCATCCTGCACATCAGATATTTACATGACGATTCATAACAGTAGCAACATTACAGTTATGAAGCAGCAACGAAAATAATTTTATGGTTGGGTCACAACACGAGGAACCGTATTTAAAGGGCCAGAAGGTTGAGAACCACTGTTTTAGAGAGAATAGAAGAGAGAGGGGAAGACAGAGAGAAACATCCATGTGAAAGAAACACATCGATGGGTTGCCTCCTGCAGGCACCCTGACCAGGGCCCAGGCCGGGGAGGAGCCTGCAAGCAAGGTACAGGCCCTTGACCGGAATCGAACCTGGGACCCTTCAGCCCATAGGCTGAAGCTCCATCCACTGAGCCAAAATGGCTAGGGCACAACATCAGCTCTTTAAAACACAAAGCGGATGTGATGTCAGGTTCCTTACCTTGTAAGAAGAAACACGTTCAGCCAAGAAATCAAAGTCACAAACTGGTACCATCCGCTCCCCAGCCACCAGAACATTCCAGAGGCTGCCGTCCCTGAAAGAGGACACACAGGCCGTCTCGGGGAGTGCTCGCAGGAAAGCCAGGCTCCTAAGCGAACCGTTTTAGGGACGGCCACGCTGGGAGCACCGGGAAACTGACGGACAGACGTTTGGGAAGTTGAGGGGCTGCAGTTCAGGAGCAGGTATGTTAAGGGGTGCTGGTCAGCACAGCAGGAATCCACACGCTCCAACATGGACAGCAGAGGCTGCAGCCACACAGAGTGCTCATCAGCACACCAGACATGACTGGGGGGGACACAGAGCATGCATCTAGTTACGGCCAAACAGGCGGCCAGACGCTCACAGCACCGGACACTGAGGACAGAGCCCATGCACCAAGCCCAGAAGGAAGCTCGCCACAGGGGGAGCAAGCACAGGCCAGGCGGGGATGTCCGCGGGTTAGGGGAGTCGTTCCCTGCAGTGTTAGCTGCCCAGCCCGGGAGAGTGAGCACAGAGCCAGCATAACCACCTGGAGCCGCCGCGGCCAACCAGAGGGCCGACCACACGGCCTGCGACACAGACCGCCCTGCAGCTCCGATCCTCCGCAGCGCCCGCTCCGCGGCGTGACCTGTGGCAGACAGACGCGTGCGGGGGGCACACTCACACACAAGACCCCAGAGCACCAGTTCTCCACAGCGACCACACGGCAGAAAACACCTGCTGGTCTGATTTTACCCCAATTCTCCTCGGAGGAACTCGACTCCCTTCTCCAGAAAAACAAAAACAAAGCATCTAAGCAAGACACTGACATGAACTCTGAAGAGGCTGCTGTGTGAACGCCTCCCTCCCTCCTGCCCGCGGACGCAGACGGGACGCCCGGGAGGCCATGGCGGGGCAGCTGCCCACAGACGGGCGGCGGTGTCTGCAGGATTCACACGGAGGGAGGTACGTAAACCCCGCAGACACCAGTTAACACGCTCAGCCGAGACAGGACCCCTCAGGACCAGACGGAAAGCAGTGGGCCAACGCGTCCAGTGGGAGGGCTCTGGGGCACAGCGGCACGGGGTGCGCGCAGCACACACAGCGGCACGGGGTGCGAGCAGCACACACAGCGGCCGGTCACAGTGCAGTCGCGCACGACACAGCTCCAAGCCGCCCTGCTTCGTCTTCGAGAGGGATTGCTGAGCTATCCACTCCTGTTAGCGCGTGTGTGCCGACTCCTGAAACTATTACGTAATTCCAACATGGCCGATATGCAAAGAAATATGGTTTAAGAGAGTTTTAAAAGTCGACTGTTTTATGTTTATTAATTAACAGTTGACAACTATTTTTGAAGCTCAGCTTTAAAAAAAAAAAGGCTGCCCTAAAAAGGTGCCCCTTTACCAAGAAACTTACAGCTACAAAGCGGAGACACCGAACTCCACGGACATCTCCCCGCTGCCCGGGGAGGGGCAGACGGCCGTCGCTGAGCAGGATGCGTTCCCACACCAGCCTCTGCTAACCCTTTCATTAAACCTCAAGTAAGTTCTTTTTTCATTCATTTAATTCATACTAAATACGCTTTCAAGAGAGAGAGTCTCCATACTTTAAACCAAAGTTAGCTCGAATCCTGTCCTTTGTTAATGGGCATCTGGATCCCAATGTGGACAAGGACCAACAGGCATTTGTGGAGAACATGACAAGAATGGAGCAGAGTGAGAGACAACCTGCACGAGACAGGGTGGGCCGCGTGGTCCCTGCTGCCCTCTCTGTCCTGGGGGACCACAGGGAGGTGGCTGTGTGGGTTTCGAGGTGCTCCGTGCCCGTCCCCCGATAATCATCGCCTGCGGGTGGTGGTGACAAGCAGTTAATATGCAAACCCTGTCCATTCGAAAACTGTGCACAACAATGGCAGTTTGAAAAAATTAGGAAACTCGATTATGAAAAAGAGAAAAGACAAAGCAAATGAACCTGGTGGCATGAGCTTCTATTGTTAAGGATTAAGCAGCAGCTCTGGCCGCCCCACCCACCCAGGGAGGCGCGAGTTCACGGAGTGATGCCCCCGTGTCAGGGGCCTGCGTGCGACCTGGGGATCACCCGAGAGCAGGTGCGGGACGGGCCATACTTACACGACTCCCCATTTACACTGAGGCCTCCGTCCTCTCTGAGAAACTCTGTTACTGTCCTCCTCCCACAGGGATCGGAACGAGCTGCAACACACGCAGAAGAGGCTTAGAGAGCTCCGCGTTCCAGCGCCTCCTCGGCCCAGGAGCCGGGCAGGCAGAGCACACGTGCGCCACCGGCTCAGCACAGCTGGGGGCTCGCTCAGGCAGGAGCACAGGAGACAGGAAGAGAGTTTCAGGCTCCCCTAGCTAAACAGTACACCCACCAACACAATGCACAGGGGCTGCTTGAATGCGTCCAAACATCGTTCTAAATGTCATTCAAATAAATTGTTTTTGCTTTAAAAGAGAATCAGAAACTGAGCATATTAAATTTTTATTTAAAAGGTGGCTTAAAGCCCTGGCCGTGTGGCTGAGGTGTTTGGAGCGTCCTCCCGTACACCCAAAGGGTGGGGGTTCAATTCCAAGTCAGGGCACATGCCGGAGGCAACCGATGGATGTCTCCCCCTCTCTCTCTCCTCCTCACTACCCCTCTCTCTAAAAACGAAAATAAATCCATAAGCATATCCTCGCATGAGGATTTTTAAAAAGTGACTTAAGCCCTAGCCAGCTTGGCTCAGTGGATAGAGCATTAACCTGCGGACTGAAGGGTCCCAGGTTCGATTCCGGCCAAAGGCATATGCCTGGGTTGCAGGAGGCGTGCAGGAGGGGGCGTGCAGGAGGCAGCCAATCAATGATCCTCTCTCATCATTGATGTTTCTCTCTCTCTTTCTCCCTTCCTCTCTGAAATCAATAAAGAAATATATATTTTTTAAAGTGACTTAAAAATGTTTAAACACTGGTCAACTGTCAGAAAACGGAGCCACACACAAAAGACAGGAAGCCCTCCGCCAGCTCCCAGAGGAAAGCCTGAGCCAGGAGAGTCGTGCCGAGACCCTGCGAGCAGAAGCGTGAGCGCCACGCTGGGAAAAGGAGCGCTTTCTCCACCTTGAAAGCATTATTTGGTGGAAAAAAGAGAAAAAATGTATTGAAGTACCTTGTGAGTCATGGCTTTCTGACTTAAAGCTTTCTGATTCACGATCTTTTGATTCATAGCTTTTCAATTTGGAATTTTCTGATTCATAATTGAGCTTCATTAAAACCACTTGAAAAAGTTGCACTAAGAATGATGAAAAGGATGACGAAGTGTACGTGGCCAGCCACAGAATCCTATCCACGTAGAGAGACGCACCGCCTATCAAAAAACCGTGGACACAGTTAATTGCCTCCCACAAAGCCAGCATTTCCTCCCCGACCAATCAGAGCCAAACCATTCGTGTCAAGCAAACCAGAAGCGCTTTGTAAATGGACACCAGACAACAACTGGGGAAGGTGACGACACGGGCGCTGCCGGGAGTGGCACGCCACCCTGACGAGGGGAGCTGCCGCCACGAGTCTCTCTCTGGCCATCTTCACACGAGACCCCGTCTGAGCTCACCTCACCCAATGCTGCTCACACACATGCTCCTCCTGCACTGCTGCCTGGAGGACGGAGGCCAGCGCATCTCCCAGGTCCTCGCCACAGCACTCGAGGGGACCAGAGACAGAGGCGTGGCCTCTGGAGGCAGCTGTGCACTCACGGAGCCGCTGCACCAGGCCTTGTCGCACAGCGCGCCTCGGTCAGCGCCCGAGCTCCAGGACACACGATGGGACCCTGACACGTTCCCTCTGTGACCCTAACATGCGTGGGGGGATACGCTACAAGGTTCAGTTGCTAGAAACCTTTATTCCTGGAAAAGCTTCTTCACGTCACTGAGGGTCCCACCGGGCAAGCGCACTGCCCACTGGAGACCGCCCGGTCTGCGAGGAGGCGCGCTGAACCTCGGCTCACACGGCCCTGTGCAGAAGCCTTAGCGACTCAGATGACGGGCAGGAGGCAGCGGGCTGGGGGGGACGGGGTTGGAGTCATTTTAAAGAAGTAAAAGTAGAGCTTTTTTGCAAACGGCTTCGTGAAGCAGTCGACCCCGGGGGCTGGCACTTCTATAAGAGCCTTGTTCCGCTGCCTGCACTCTGAACAGAGGCTGGAAAGCAGAGCCATTTATTAAGAGGTAACGCAGGGTCAGTCCCCTGATAAAAAACACCAAAGTCCCAATTTTCACCCATCAGACTGAAAAATGTTTAAAGTATGAAAATATGAAGAACTGGCAAGTCTCTGGGCTGAGACCCTCCTAGAGCCGCAGTGGGACAGTGACCGGGTCAGTGGGATCCCGGGGATGACACCTGCAGGCAAGATGCCCGAGGCCAGCCCCAAGCTCCATCACCCAGCAGGTTGCAGATGTGGGAAGCCGCCCATTGTCTTCACTATCAGAGAATGTAAACAAGGAGCCCAGAACGCTGGTGAACCTTGAGCCCTGGCAAGGGCCAGAGCTATGCACCGATTGTTTAGTCCAGATAATGGGGGCTCAAGCTATTTCCTGACCAAAGAGTCTCAGAGTAAATCCTTCTAATATTTACTGACCTTTAAGATAGTCTGTCTGTTACTGCAATTACCAGCGTAAGGGCTAGATGTGTATCCAAAATTGAATAAAAGGTTGGCAAGGCTTGGGCACAAGGGGAAGTCCTTTCCCTTGCATTGGGCTTTCTGCCTGGCCCCCAATATTTCCAAATTATTATTTCTTGTCTTGTCTGTCATTTACGCGCGGACCTTCTCCAGATCCCGAACCCTGAACCATGCAGGACGTGGACACACAGCACAGCTGAGCCTCAGTGTGGCAGCCTGCAGGGTGGGGACAGGCAGTGCTGCCGGGAGGGCCGGGACACTGGGGCAGAGCCCGCAGCAGAGGGCGTGCTTGGCATGCGGGCTCCACAAGGCCTACCCAGGTTCGATGCGTCGCCATGTTAGAAAGGAAGTCCTCCTGTTCATCTACCCTCGCCCTCCCCTTTCTGCTTTCCTATTGTGTCCCTCACGCCACAGCAGACAGAACCACAAGCATCAGCAGCTGTGACAAGACCTCTGAGTCCTGGTACCATCGTCCATTATGTCCACAGTCACCTGAGAAATGTTAACTGAGCACACTCACGCTCAAACACAGCCCTATTCTCCTGGCACCTTCTGTCCCCACCTGGTCACCTGCCGGGTGTGGCCTCCAGCCCTGCAGGCTGACCAACACTCAGACTGAGCACACAGGAGCAAGGACTCGGAAGCGAGGTGATGCAGTTTCGGCCCAGGGCTCCCCAGCCTCCCACGAGCATGGGAGCAGGGACCACAGGCAGGAAGTCGGGGGGCGTGGAGGACCGGAGCCAGCAGGGGCATCTCAGCCACACGACAGAACCTGGAGGGAGGCCTGCAGCTCTGGGGCAGGAGGCAGCCCTGCAGCCCGGCCTGCGGAGGCCACGGCAGTCCCAACAGCCGCAGAGCTCCAGAGCCCCTCCCAGGGCCTCCACGCTCCAGCACCTGCTGCCAGTGCCGTGCCTGCCCGCGGGGCCAGGAAATGAAGCTGCCACCCCAACAGGCCAGGGCTGAGCTGTCCCCGAAATGAAGCTCCCTCGATCATGAATCTGGAGACTAGGGACTGCGCCCTCACTCCTGCTGGCATGAGCCCCTCTGGCAGGAGGCAAAGCACCCTGTGGAGCTGCTCCGTGGGTGCACGTGTGTCTGAAAGTGACCGCACAGTCCCAGCAGCTTCATCTAAGTGCAACTTTACAGACTTTCAGACACTCCCAGGACAGAAACACGAACCACATGAAATGGAAGCTGATGGCCTGACTGGCGTGGCTCAATGGTTGAGCGTCAGCCCATGAACCAGCAGGTCTTGGGTTTGATTCCTGGTCAGGGCACAGGCCCGGGTTGCGGGCTCAATCCCCAGTGTGGGGTGTGCAGGAGGCAGCTGACCAATGACTCTCTCTATCTCTTTCCTCCTCTCCCTTCCTCTCTGAAATCAATCAAAATATATTTTTAAATAAATGTAAGTTGAAAGAGGATAAGAAGGAGCACAGCTACTTTTTGGTGCATTTCTTAAACTTTTATAGGATAATTTTGAGTTCAAGTCTACGACAGAAAAAGTGCAGATGCTGAGGCCTGTGATACCAGGTTTGTAAGAGGGGACGTGGAATCTTTTCCTACCTCTTAAACAAGCGAGCGGGACTTACGTTTCTGACTCCTGTCCCTCGAGTAGACCCTGGAGGAGGCGCCGTGCGCGGGGAGCGTGTCCTGGCGCTCGGACAGCAGGGTGCAGGCCCTGCAGGTGTAGCCGTTGCTCCAGGCTGCGTCTGCGGCCACCTTGCCATTTCCCTGAACGACAGCTTTATTTCCACCTGAAGGTTTCAAAAAGCAGAGGGGGCCTGCTGCTCACAACCTGTGGACCCCCACTCACACTCTATCGTAAAACGGAGGGCAGAAAAAGGACTGAGTCATTACCTTTAAGATCTCCATCATCATCAAGACCTAAAACACACATATTTTTGCAATTGAGCTCAAATGATCAGAACAGAGCAAAACCCACTCAAAAAAGTAAAGGTTACAATGGTTAATGACTCAGCGTTATGGCGCTGGTCAAGATTTACTTCCTAAAACGCCTAACATCAATGGCAATTTCTCCAATACATACACACCGTCTGGAGGTGGAAGGACATTGACGAAAATGCATGCATGCACCCACATGCGCACACTGCCCGTGCTAAGGACGCAGCATGCAGGCAGGATTTGCGGGACCAGCCGTTTCTCAGACACGGCAAACCCCTCCCCACCGCCCCTGCTCGCTGCCTCGCTCCCTAGAGCAGCACATAACCCCAGGAACAAGCCCAGGGCTTCTGTCCCTGAGGCCGGCCAGGGCACGGAGGGGACACAGCACGGGTCTACGCCATCAGAGCTGCCGCCCGAAGCTGCCATTCCTGGCAGGAGTGGCGTTGCCCTATGGCTGTCTCAGTCAAGTCAGCTCAGTCACTGTGTCTACTCTGGGTGCTGTCCAATGGCTCACAAACACGGCCTGCCCGCTGCCGAGGCCGAGGGACGGACGGCCAGTGCCCACAAGCGGCGCGCTTGACCAGCGGCTCTCTGCCTGCTGCCTGACCAGCGGCTCTCCGCCTGCTGCCTGACCAGCAGATGGTGACGCAGCCTATGCCGCTGCCCGCGTGGGCTTTGTGAGCCTGAGGAACACCCTGACCTACGGGGCTCCACTGGCCACGACCTCCCTCCTTCCCGAACAATCTGAGCAACAATCACACCGCAGACAACTCACCCCAGAAGTGGTCCACTTTGGTCTGTTCTCGGATCAGAGACTCGTCCAGCACGGGCGGCCGTAGACAGGCCGCGCCCTGCAGACCGCTGCTCTGGCCAGCAGCAACCTGCCTCGAGGGGCGGTTTACACTAAAAGCCAGTTTGCTTGCACTTCTGTGCTGCTTTGCTGTTCTAAAAAGAAAGGAATAAGGAATAAGTTCATAGACTTTTTCTTGTAAATACAAAATGATTATATTTTACACACACAAAACCTTTGAGAATAAACATAGCATTTAAAAAAATATATTTTTATTGATTTTAGAGAGAAAGGGAGAGGAAGAGACAGAAACATCAATGATGAGAGAGAATCACCGATCGGCTGCCTCTTGCATGCCCCACTCTGGGGATCGAGTCCGCAACCCGGCATGTGCTGTGACTGGGAATGGAACCGTGACCTCCTGGTTCATGGGTCCATGTGCAACCACTGAGCCACGCGGCCGGGCTACACAAAGCATTTTTAAGGCAGCATCTTTGTACATCTCTCTGCTGCAATGCAACACCCACTGATCTGGAAAAGGGAGTCCTAAGCTGGGGTCCAAGAGCTCCTTCTAAAACTGTAGTGGTTAAAACTTAAAATAACCTCGTATAAAAACAGCCTAAATATAAAAATAAAAAAGCATATGATTTCTAAGTCTACCCCTCCCTTCCTTTTTAAACCAAGTGCCCACACACTCGCACACCCCATTCCACTCCTCAGTCACCAGGAAAGACATTAAGTCCAGCAAGCAAAGGCTGTAATCTAAAATAACCCCATTCCCAGTGAGCACAAGTGACAAAGGTGAAGGCCTTGAACACTAACGCTTTCAGACCCTGCGGATCGCTAAGACCAGGAGCAGAAGCCCTTGAGGGAGCAATGCTGGGTGGGAGCTGGCAGTAGGCACAGCTGTAACCACCTGCAGCTCGTGGTCACTTGCTGAGTCTCCAGGGGGAGGGAGGTGCAAACTCCGTCTCTAAACTCCAAGAGGACCCCGACCAGAGCAGGGCTGCAGATGCCATCCAGCCCCGCTGGGCCAGCGGCATCCCTGCTAACAGCACCTTCCCCGCTCCCGACAGCAGAGCCTGCAGGGGAACCTGTCACTCTCACGTGCCCACAGGAGACCTTCAGGTCCACTCTGTCGAGAACGCACACCGAGCTCGCCCACTGTGCTCCTCTGGGCACGGGCAGTCTGGTACTGCACAGGTTCCAGTAACAGACTGGCTGCAATGGCCCCGCCCAGCAGCCTCAGGCGGCCTGTGCCCACGTGAGGGGCACCCACACCCTCCCAGGTCTGTAAGCCCTCAGCACACCAACGCCAACAGCCCTACTGACAGCACAGCCACGAGACCACTTGTGGGTCTGTGTACGCCTGTCCTCAAATCCAAGAGCTGGTCTTCCAGGCCACCAGTGTGTGCGCTGGGCTCTACCTGGTGTGAGCTCGTGTGTGAGCACCAAGGCGGGCTCACCTGGCCGTTCTGTCCTTCAGGGAGGCTGTGCTGCCGAGGCGGGAGTCAGCGTCCCCCGCCTGGCCCCCCTCAGTGCTGCACGCAGTGGTAGCCAGGCGCAAGCTACGCCGGGACATTCTTGGAGAATCAAACACGGGGTCCAATTTGTGCTCAGTCTCGAAATCCAGAGCATCCGAAGAGTAACTGGAACTGGAAGGAGAGAAACGTGTCAGAGGAACATGCTCACAGCACCACTTTACACACACACACACACACACACACACAGGTAACAGAGGAGGGGGACCTGTGGCGCCTTTTTAGAAACACCCATACCATTGTGACTCTTCTACAAGGCAGACAGGCTGCAGCCGACTGGTGCGGGGGAAACCAGCCCCCGTGCTTGCTGTTTAAGTCAGAGCTGACCTGAGCTCGCTCGCTGCCGCCATGCTGAACCCCACCTGCGGGCCATCGTGTCCCCCACGCCTGGTGACGCAGCAGCGACAGCGACCCTCCCGACACAGTCCTGAGTGACCCGAGGCAGGACAGGAGGGAGCAGGTGCTGGACCATCTGCTCGTTTGCCTCTAACTCACCATCGAGAGGCCACAAGCCAGGGAGCTCACTCAGCCCTCCATGGAGTTAGCGTGAACTGAAAGGTGTGTCCCTCTGTGTTGGTAGCAAGCTTTTCCAAACCAAGAACCATTCTCTGAGGGCCTGCTCTGTGTCACCTCGGGGTGGGACCATGCCTCCTGCCCTGCCCAGCGTGCTCAGGGCTCCCGCTCACAGGACACATATTACTGGGCCACCAGCAGGGAGGAGCCACCACCTGGCAGGTAGGAGGAGGTGAGCACAGGTCACTGTGAGGAGGGGAGGGGCAGGACCCGGCTGAGGATTTCCTGAGACGCTGAGGGAGACGGACTGCAGACCCAGGGCACCGGCTGGGGGGTGGGGGACGGGTGCCTGGGAGTGCCACGTGTTGCAGAGGCTCCCCACGGGAGCGGTGGTGTGGGACGCCCACTGCCCAAGGCAGCATGGGAAGGACTTGGCAACCGGAGTGAAGTGAACGGGCTTAGGAGCAGTTTTGCATTACATTTGATATTACAGACAGAGTTTCCTCCTAAACTCATTAGGTCTGACACTAGAACATGCAGGCACAACAGTAGCTGGCACCAGGGCTTCACAGCACAGGCATGGGACACGCCACACGCCTTCAGAGCCTGGACTCAGGGGCTGGAGTGGGAGCCTGCGGCCGCCACGCTGAGTGTGCAGCAAGGAGGCCAAGGACATCATTTTAGTATAGGCTAAAATCGCCTGTTTTCTTTCCAAAATATTTTATACAACTATTAGTGACCCAGTGCACGGATTCGTGCACATTGAAAGGAAATTAATTAGAAGGTGGTCGGTGGGGCGGGACTGGGCAAGATGGGCTGGACACACCCTGGAGCCAACCTCCCGCAGTCCCTCCCCAGCTGGAGCACCTGGGGTGGTGCCATGGCTCGAAGGGCGTTTACGGAGTGAGCAGGGTCCCTCTGGTAGGTGGGGCCCCTCGACCTGGCCTGTGGGGATCGGGCCGAAACTGGCTTTCCAACATCCCCCGAGGGGTCCCGGAGTGCAAGAGGGCACTCTGCAAAGTTGCCTCATACCGGGTGTGGAACGCAAACGCATGTGTGCAGTAAACCAGACTCGGGGCCAATAGTGCCCCAGCAACAACATAACCCATGGCCGAAGGTGGAATCGATCAGGCTCCCTCCTCTCTGGTTTTGGGGTGTATCACCTGAGAACCACTGCTGCCAAGTCACTGCCGCTTGGCAGCTCCTGCATTGAGCATCTGCCCCCTGGTGGTCAGTGCACATCATAGCAACCAGTCGGACACTTAGCACATTAGCCTTTTATATATAGACTAGAGGACTGGTGCACAAAAATTTGTGCACTGGGGGGTGAGGGGGTCCCTCAGCCCAGCCTGTGCCCTCTTGCAGTCTGGGACCCCTCAGGAGATAACGACCTGCTGGCTTAGGCCTGCTCCTGGGTGGCAGAGGGCAGGCCCAATCCCTAGGTGCAGCCCCTGGTCGGGCTCAGAGCAGGGCCGATTGGGGAGTTGGGGCGCCGCCCCCTGTCATGCACAGAGCAAGGCGGATCGGGAGGTTG